TGAATTATGGTAAGTGGTTGAATTTAGTGAGACAAGGTCAGTTTCTCTATTATCTTAGAAAAATTTCTACTTTACAGTAGGCAATGCTGAGTGGCAGGAATGAGGGACCAAAACGCTTGGGGCTAACAATGGCCCATTTACAAACCACTTCAGACATGGCAATGATGTCATTTATGCTTAATTCGTCTGAAACTGACCCTACTGCACTTGTAACATTCTATAAAAATATCTTCCAAAATAGGTATAAAAATGCATAACACAAAACACACAAACAAAATGTTTATAATCCTTATATAATAAATTTCTATAGAACTTTTAAATTTCTATAAAACTAATAAACCTATATATATATAATAAAATAATAATAATAAAATTTGGTAGCTTAAACACAAACTCTAAGCCCAGTGGATAAACCACAAAACTTATGCTCTATTGTGTGAAACAAAGATACTAGATCAAGATAACTATCAAGGAGTGTATGCATAGGACATAAAAAGTTTTGGAACGAAGATGACATGCTTGTGAAGCGAGCTAACAGTCTAATTGCTAATAAGTTCAAAAAGATCATGACATTAGGTTGCATCCTAAACAGTTTAAGCAAATAACATAAAGTTATTATATTGTCAATTAATCGCTCATGCCATAACTTTTCTTAAACAGGTGAGTTTTTAATAATGTTTTGAACAGATCAACATCGGAACAAGTCTTAATTTAATTTCAATTGGTAGTTGGTTCCAGATTTTCGGAGCAACAGTCTGAAACGCTCTTGGGTGTGATCTTGTAGATCCGACGGGTAGGTGTAAGGAGGAAGTTCTTCTGCTACTCGAACTAACAAATGTTACTAGATCACACAGATATGCAGGAGCAACACCATTGACTGCTTTGAAAATCAGTAAGCATAACTTAAACTCAATCCTCTCCTTCACCTTGAGCCAATGAAGGGATTTGAGCTTCTCCTCGACTGAGTCTCTCTTATTTAATCCAAAAACCAGACGGCATGCTCGGTTCTGAATGTTCTGCAGCTGCGTAATTGAGGCTTGACTACAACCGTAGTAAAGTGCATTGCAGTAGTCAAGCGATGAGATTACAATTGCTTGAGTCAGTGTTCCCATCTGTTTGGTTGTGAGGAAAGTTTTCATCTTAGCAAGGTCTCTTAGTTTCAGAAAACACGATGTTTTAAGTTGCTTGATTTGCTCACCAAAGTTTAGTTGAGAGTCGAGACGAAATCCGAGGTTCTTTGCAACAGGTGACAGCCTGACACACGTCTCAGAGTTAACAAACACGCCCCCTATGGACAGCTGCTGGAGAACAAGCGGTGTCCCAAAGACAAGAATCTCAGTTTTTCCTGCATTGAGCTGTAGATAATGTTTTTTCATCCAGTCATTAATTTCTTGGAAACATTTGGGAACATCGTTGATAAGGACGGTGGGCTCCTCGTTTGGCTTGAAACTTTTATACAGCTGATGATCGTCGGCGTAACCCTGGATGGAGAAGTTCAAATCATGTGCTGCTGAGTACAAAGAGCGAATGTAGATGTTGAACAGGACTGGACCCAGCACAGAGCCCTGTGGGACTCCAAACTTAATCACTATCTCATAAGATTCCTCATTTCCAACTTTAATCGTTTGACATCTACCTGTGAGGAAGCTGCTGAACCATTTCCAAGCTGTCCCTGTTATTCCCAACTCATTTCTGAGGATGTTCAGTAGTTTGCAGTGGTCAACTGTATCAAAAGCTGCGCTGAGATCTAGGAGAAGAACAACAGTTGCCTTGCTTTCTGTAGATGCAATGAGTAGATCGTTAACAACTCTCACAAGCAGAGTCTCGGTGCTGTGTTTTGATTTGTATCCAGACTGCTGTGGGATGTTCAGGTTGTTGTTTTCGAGATGTTCATTTAGACGCCTGAGGACTACTCTTTCTATCAACTTGCCCACAAAACTAAGGTTAGATATTGGTCTGTAATTCTTGAGATTATCACTATCTAATCCCTGGCCCTTGATCAGGGGTGTGATATGAGCTAGTTTAGCGCCATCAATACTGCCAGAAGATAATGAAGCATTTACTATGTCAACTAAGACGGGTAGTAGAACCTCAAGGTTTTCTTTAAAGATGTTTGCAGGTAGAGGGTCAATTGAAGAAGACTTGATCTCAGATGCCTTGATTATCTCCTCTAGTTCTTCTAGAGTAGTTGGAGAGAACTCAGCTAGTTTTTCTCCGCAGTAAGAGGGCGTTTGATCGTCAGACTCCACATGATCAAAGTTATTTCGTATTGCCTTTATTTTCTCCTGAAAATATACGTTAAAGTTTTCGACTGTGTCCTTGAGAGACTCCGACGAAGGCAACACAATGCTTTTATCCCGATCAAGAAAGGTGTCCACAAATCTAAAAAGACTCTTAGAAGAATAGGAATGCTTTATGAATTCGACTTTGAAAAACTCATGTTTCTTCCTGTCTGAGAGTTCTGTGCACTGCTCTCTGATTGATTCATAGTGTTTCTTGTCAGTTAAAGATCCGGAGATTTTCCACTTTGTCTCGGCTTTTCTTCTTTGGCTTCTAAGTGCTTTATATTCACCATCGAACCAAGGGGCAGACTTACGTTCTTTGATTTCCTTTGTGAGGAGAGGAGCATGGTTATTCAGCACAGTTAGGCACTTAGAGTTGTATAGGCTGATGCGGCTTTCAAATGACGGCATTTCAGCTTGTGATAGACCCTCAGGATCCATTACAGTAACCAATTCCTCAGCAAGATTATCCGCAAAACAATTTTTGTCAATTTCTTTGACATTTCTGAATGTGATAACTTTTTTCTTGTTGAGATTGCTTGCAACTGTTTTTGTGAGGCTAAAAGTAACCGGGAAATGGTCACAGTTTGGGAACATTTCCGAGGTGTGCGAGTCTACTGTGGATTGACTATCTGATGGGAGGAGATTACAACATCCAGAATATGTCCTTTGTTGTGAGTTGGATCTCTCACGTATTGATGCAGTCCATAGCTGGCCAATACTTCAGTCAGTTTGGCCGTGTTTCTTGATTTATGATCATCCAAATGAATATTAAGATCACCACAGATTAAAAACTTCTTGTATTTCATGAATATGTTCCCAATAAACTCATCCAAATCTTCAAAAAATACATCAGTCAATGACCCTGGTCGGTAAACACAAGCACAGAGGACAGTATCACCCGATGAGTCTCGAAATTTGCCTAAAACTGCTTCAAACGTATCTCCACACTTATCAAACACAGGAGTAAGGTTCAAATCACTTGAATTGTAAATAATTCCAACTCCTCCGCCTCTGCATTTAGCGGAGTCTTTCCTGATGTAGTGAATCAAGTTATAGCCATAAGACTTGATGGTAGCAGTAACATCATTCTTCATGCTGGTGAGCCAAGTCTCAGTGACAAAAAGGACAGAGATTCCTTGGTCGATTATAGATTCCATGATTGGTTGAATCTTATTATTGAGAGATCTCACATTCCAGCAACAGCCAAGAATCTCCGCCGGAGAGGATTTCAGACCACTGCTTACAAGTTTTTTGAACTGTAGTAATTGATAGTTTTGCGGAGATGCTGCTGTTCAGCAACATAAGCTGGACATGTCCTATCAAATGCCGTGTGTGTGTTTCTTTCATCCCGATACTTGCCCTTAGAGCAGTTAATGCAGCATGAAATACGACTATTAGTTTTCTTTTCTGGACAATCTTCTGACGTATGATTCTTGGAACAATAACCACAAATAGCTTTTTCTGATTCGCACTCAGACCTGTAGTGTCCAAAACCTTGGCAGTTGTTGCATCGTTTTACATGAAATTGATCATAAACTTTGCAACTAAACGAACTGATGTATAGCCGATCTCCCTGTTGTTCTATGATTTTCCTGATATTGTTACTAACTCGTATAGTAGCTTGATGCTTGCTGCTGTTTTTGATCTGAGGTTTAACTTTTAGTACAGAAAATGTTTCACCCTGGGATTTTAATGCCTTAATGTTGGGGTGAGCTTGAAGGAGCAGGTCTTCTAGATCTTCTTCAGAATAATTATCAGCAAGGTTAGCAACAGAGATTGTGGGCAAACGTTCTGGTGGCTGGTGCGTTTTCATTTCTGGAAGTTGCTGGGATACTTTCTTGACAAGATTTTCCCTGTCAGCCGTTGTCGGACACACAACCACAATGTCCCCATTCTTGTTGACATACCGTTTGTCAGCATGAATGGCGTTGTCTTTGATGATTTTGTCAACTTCTTCTTGGTGATCTTTTGCTTGATTTTCTGGTGTTTTGCTGGACATGATTAATACAGAGCGATATGAAGGGGCAACTGGTGCTGGAGATGGAGGAGAAGAAATTTCAGTTTTGTCCGGAGATGTTTTCATATTCACAACTTTCATAAGTAAACCCTTCATGTCCTCCATAGATTGGGTCAGATTATCTACTCGCCTGTCAATCAGGTCGACTTTACTTTCGGCACTGACTGCGGAGTTCTGTTCAGAGTGTGTCTTGCAGACATTACACACAAACGTAAAAGTCCCAAATCTGGAACTGTTAACACCCTTGGTTGCGTTTCTGTCGGAGTATGCTTTGAAGAAAGTGCGAGGACAGATTACAGCATTATTGATCCTATCTTTATCAGCATCTCGACAAACAGCATGAAATGACGATTTACACAAAAAGCAGGTAAGAGCAGTGTCATTAGCTTGAACATCATTACAGGTGTTACAAGTGCCGTCTTTGATGTAGGCAAACTGGTATTGAAGAATGTTACCTTGTCGCTGTTGAGTACTTTCAGAGGATGTGGATGAGTTCAGGGTAGGTGTGAAACGTTGTGGGGATAACATATCTTCGCTAACATTCCTGTCATTCTTTGGCGTATCATCCTGTAACGAGATTGAGGACCTGTTACCCTCATCATCAAAACCACCTTCTCCGATCATTGCGCACTTCTTTTACAAAGTGAAACAGTGCAGATCAGCAGAGTCAGTAGAGAATCAAAATTGAGTTCGGGGTCCTCAAATTATTTGTTATATAGTAGTGTTGAAAGTATTAAAACTAAAGTATATTCATTTTGCACCCAGAGAAAGATGTGATCACAGAGGTAGTTTCGATATTATGTTCATGACAAGGTATGGGGCTGCTGCAAGTTATATTTTGCTAAGATATTACCGCTTTTTCAAGCTTAAGTAATCTAGGCAAGGTCAATTTTAAAGTTTTTGAATTTTGTCGAACGCTGTTTAAGGCTAAGTTCCAGTCATTTGGTTCTCCTTCCTTTTGAGTGTGAGTGATGGTGATTCTTATGGATGATTTGAGGTGATTGGGCTTATAACAGGTGAATGTAGTTAGCATGAGATTTTGTCGTACTGTATTCCATATTGTCCCTGCTCTGTATATGTAGCTGTCTGATGGTTTAGGTGTGAGAATGAGGGTCTCTTTGCCAAGTCTGCCAGATGTTTCAAAGAGGGAGTATAGTGATATAGGGGTTCTATATTTCAAGACCTTGAAGATGTCATTAATACAATGGTAGAAGTACAGATTATGCACATTCATGATTTCATGAGTGTTGAAGAGGGGTTTTGTATGCTCCTTTCTGTAGAATTCCTTGCCCAAGATTTGCTCCCCGTAGGGTCTGCATCGTGCACTAGTTTTAAATTTATCCAAGTATGCTTCTTTATCTCCAAACATTATGCGGGCACACATTTTCTGTGCTTTGAACAGAGGTTCAAGTTTTTTGTTAGATGCCCCTCCCCAGACAGTTATACCATATGCAAGATAGCTTTCAAACAGAGTGTGATATACATCTTTATGGAGTGATGTGGGAATGTTATCTTTAATTCTATTTAGCATGCCACAGCAGCTGGCTAGTTTTTTTGCTAATTTCCTTCTATGTGCGTTCCAGTTTAGGTCTTCATCGATTGTTACACCTAAGAATTTAGTTTCATGTACTCTCTCCAAGGGTATGCCATTGATATTGATTTCTTGATCAGAGGGTGTATCTTCATCTTTGTTGGATCGAGAGTTTGAGAATTCAAGGTAACAGCTCTTGCCAGTGTTTATGTGAAGTTTATTGGCAAGCATGTAGCGGTGTACGGAATTTAGGACTTCATTGGCTTTTTTGTATGCTAGGTTTTTACTTTTTGCAGCGACGAAGATATTTGTGTCATCAGCAAATAGAACAAATTTAGAGTTCTTTTCAGAGTTTGTAAGATCGTTTATGTAAATTAAGAACAGAAGGGGCCCTAAGCAGCTCCCTTGTGGCACTCCAAAAAGCACAGGTAGAGTATCAGATATTTCATTGAGCACACCAACATATTGTTTACGGTCGGAAAGATAACTTTCCAGGAGTTTGTGTGCCCGTCCTCTGATCCCGTATGTGTTTAATTTTTTGAGAAGTATTGAGTGATCTATTGTATCAAATGCTTTACTTAGGTCGATAAAGATTCCTAAAACATGATTACCGGCTTTGAGTGACTGCTGAATGTGGTGAATAGAGTAGTTGAGTGCATGTGATGTTGAATGACCCTTTCGGAACCCAAACTGGCTATCGTGCAGTATTCCCTGACTCGAGAGAAAACCATAAAGCCGTGAGTAGATAACCTTTTCAAAAATTTTACCGAAAATTGGGAGAGTGGAAATTGGACGATAATTTTGTAAGTGTTCTTCGTTATCTTTTTTGTAGATGGGGCTAATTTTACCTATCTTAAGGATGGCGGGAAAGCATCCTGTTGACATAAGGTTGTTGTATTGTATGGAAAGCACTGGGCTGAGAATGTGTGAGGCCTTTTTAATAACACTGATGGGGAAATCACTAGCTTTGCCATTTTGTAGCTCAGAAATGATATGAGATATTTCACTCTCAGTGCAGTCTGTTAAGTACATCGAATTTGGGTGAGTTTTTGGTAAAAATTCAACAAATGAAGGAAGTGGCTCAATTTTCATTTCCCCATCAACTTGTTCATTCAATTTCGACGCTATTGAGGCAAAGTACTCATTAAATTTGTTGGCTATGAGTCTACGTTCTGTGATGCGTACTCCGTCGACACAGAATTGAGGCTTTATGGTTTTTTTGCATTTTCCTCTTAATTCATTGATAACTTCCCAAGTCTTGCTGTCTCCTTGATGATCCATAATCTTAGTACAGTAATATTTCTTTTTTTGACTTTTTATTACACCTTTAAGACATCGACAATAGTTTGAAAATTTTGTGTGGAGATCAATATTTCCATCTGGACTAAATTCTTTTGACGTTTTCGAGGCTATCCAGTCATCATACAGCTCCTCTTTAGTTGAAATAGCTTCTGAAATTCCATCTGTCATCCAAGGATTGTTAACTGGATTTCTTTTGGAGACTTTGGGTTTATCTAGTTTGCAGTTAGAGTCAATTGTATGTGTGAAGATGTTAAAGAAGGTTTCAAAGTTGGTACTGTTTGCCATGATATCTTCTTTGGATTCAAGGTCTGTAATTAAAGTATCAACATTTTTCTTGGAGAAGCTGTAGTGTTGGAGTAGCTTTTGGTCTGAAGAAGTTTCGTTCATAGGCATGCAAAGGTTGAACATGGCTATGATTGGTTTGTGGTGGGAATTCATATCATCAATTACCCCAGACATCGTGACGTGTTCAATGTCGTTGGTGAGTATATTGTCATGCAGGAATGTTGGTGAATGTTTGTGGAATGAGTTGGTAATGAGATGAGCGGAAAGAATCCCAATGAAAGAAACAAATTTTCAAATTTTTGAGTTGTGGGATTTGTTCTCTTTAGAAGGTCAAAGTTGTAGTCTCCCAAAATTATAGGGAATTTCGCTGGATTGTACAACTTTCGTCTTGGTAGATTCCAAACACAAGGAAATTTTTCCTTTGGTTGGTAATATACTCAATGATGGAAGTATAGTGTATTGGCTATGCCCCGCTCACTAGTTTAGCTCTTTCTAGTCCCCTGCTACACGGTATGTAAACAGGGATTGGCTAGTTAGAGGCGGTCCGTGTAGGCCTTACACTGTGCTTTCAGCAATACTCATAGATTTTATGTCTTTGGGGAAGAGTGACTTCAGGTGTGTCAACTCATTGAGAAACTCTTTCGAGTCCCCATTGGGTGATCTATAAACCACACCAACATTAACTTTTTCACTCCCTTTATTGACAGTAACAAAGAGTGATTCAAGGTTTTTAGTTGTACTGATAAGCTTGTCGTTTATGGTTGCATTGAAGGAACAGTGGATATATAAACAGACACCTGTTCCTTTTGTTTTATTTGGAATTTTATCATTATAGAAATGCGAGTAGTTGCTTAATTTGTACAGATCACCTTTGTTTTGATTAACATTTGTTTCAGCAAGAGCAATAGCTGAGTAGGTAAGTTTTTGCATGCTCATTTCTGCAGAAAAGGAGTCAAAGTTGGATAGATTTCCATCTATATTGTAGAACATTGTGCTAAAATCAGAGTTATTAGGGACCTTTTCATGGACTGATTTAAGTTTGTAACTCTTACAGTTTTCCAAAATTGTGGATGCTTGGTTAATACAGTCAAAAGACTCCAGGAAGTCTTCTGAGTAGAACTTATCATCAGACTCTTTTTCAAGTCCTATGAGTTCCTTAAAGGGATTGTAGATCATGACACTAATACTATAGCAGTTGGTACATAAGTGTCCAGAGCCTCCTTGGCTAAATTTTGAATTTTTGAAGCATAATTTGTGTATTATTTTGGGACAATTTTGACATTCCAAGTATCCTTGACCAATATAAGGACGTTTTTGTTGCAGCAGTCGCATATTTCTCGTTTGATTGATGGAGTCATTTATCTATACAGGGTTTGGTGGGCCACCTCTGAGTGCGTTAGAATATAACCTACTGCTTGATAATTTAGTTTTACTAGATTTAAATTGAAAGATGCAGCGTTTTAATAGGACAACAAGGATGCTGGTGCCTTTTCTATTGAGATGGAGTTCATCTCCAACATCAGTCTTTGCAAGATCATAATCTAAAAGATTTGTTCGCTTGTCTAGGAACTTGATAAAACCTTCAACTAGGATAACTTTAAGGTCACACTGGCATAAATCTTCAGCAATAAATCTATTAAACATAAAAATTCTACGGTTCTTGTCGTGTGATTTTGTGGGAAGTACTGGACATATGAATATTTTACATTTAGGGTTGTACTTCCTTATCAGACTAAGTTTTGTTTTATATTGCTTATAAAGTTCTTTGACCTTTTGGTCGGTGACTTTGTTCTTGAGGTCATTAGTGCCCACCATTAGCACAACATTACGGTATGATGTGCATGATAGTGGGTCTATCGAGTCTATTGTAGGAGCCCAAGATCTGAGGCCAGGGGTCGACTCTCCAAGTTTACCTTTGCCGCTTCCGAATGTTATAGGCCCAAAGTTAGAATCCCCTACGAGAATAGTTGAGTTGAAGTTTGACCAATGGATGGCCCTGAATGTAAGGCTGAAGCGAATGCCGTCAGAGACAGAATCATCATCTTCTTCTTTGATGGTGTGTTTGAAGAAGTCTTGACTATGCCTAGTCATCTGGTACATGCTTCTGCTATTACATTTGACAGTCATTGTTTCGTCAGACTGTAAGTTCCTAAACTGAAGGTGACGTGGGATCCCTAGAGATATGGTGAAGATAGATGACTTAGGGTCAATGTCCCCCTCATTGTCTGCGTGTTCTGGGAGAGTTGACTCCTTATCATCATACATGTTCACTAGGCAAGAGTTTAGTCTGTAGTGGTGCCTTTCCTCTTGGTGTGAAGACCCATACTCATTGTTGAGACGCTCCATCAGTTTCTTGATGGGTTCAGGCATCTCCAAAGGGTTTGACTTTGAACCCATGTACTTGTAGTGCTCTCCATATTGAAGTACATTTCTTTGCCCCTCTATTGAGAAGTCTGCAATTTGATTCTGTAGCATGTTCATGAGGTCGCTCTCTTCTTTCTCTGTGATGTAGTCTTCTAGCTGGTTTTCTACATGCTTTATATCAGGAACCAAGTTGATTGAACTGACATTTTCTACTTGAATTGGGGCCCTCCTAGGGGGTTGTGGTGGTTGTGGAGGATTGTAGTCGTTCATTTGAGGAGGAGGAGGACGGTTAGGAGTGTTCTTTAAGGATGCTATGTTTTGGGATAGCTCTGTCAGCTGATGTTGTATCGATGAAATGAAGTCAGTCGTGGGTTGGGTAATATGCTTCATTTTCTGCTCTACTATACCCTCCAGGGACTCAATTACCTCAGCCGAGATTTGGTTTGCATAGCAAGTTGTTTGCAATGCGTTTGCTAACTTAGCAGACTTATGATTCTTTGGTCTTGGGTATGGGGCAACAAAGCAACAAAGCACAATTGCTTACACTCTTTCGACATACTTCCAGATGTGAGAAACACAGCCAGGGTGAAGGTTGCCTTCTCCACATTCAACACTCTCTCTGCTCTAGGTACTCATCTTTCTTCTCGTTCTCGTTCATAATTTCGTATATGTCTTGAAGAGTCTTTGTCCTGTTTGATAACCAGTTGGGGTGTGAAACCCTACTGTCAAGAAATGTCTTATCATTAATGGACTTCAAACTCCTCTAGCAGATACGTCAAGATCAGAGAATGACTGGTTTTCTCAACTAAGGATCAGAAAGGTCAAAAAGTCAGAGCCCCCCCCCCCCCTGGCCTTATAAATGTTTGCCCTGAACAATTATTTATATTTATTTAGATGTAACGGGCTGATGAAATGGCAATAGTTCCATGCTTGCAAAAGAATCCCATATCAAAACTCCAGGTTAGCATCTAAAAATGAATCATCTTTTCTTAGTCAATTTTTTGTTAATTGCTTTCAAACTTTCATGTTAAATAAAGTATAAGAAACTGAGTAACAGTTAATATTTTATAGGAGTTTGCCCAGCAGGGGCGAATTTTTTCCCCTAAATACGAAGATTTGTCCAGTACAGAAGGGAAACCAGGATGGAAGTTCGTTTATCAAGTCTACACTCGTTCAAAAGTACCTGCAAACAATGCAAATTGTCTTTACTCTCAGCTGGGGTATGATCAATTCTATGGTTATGGAAACTACAACTATAGAGACTATTCTTGCAAAGGTCAGTCTTGTGTGAATGAATTAGCTTGCACCTATAAGGAATCAGGTACCAGGTATGTTCAATATAGATGTATAACGAAACGTTAGTATTCAGTAATTACTACAGGAAACATAGAAAATGAAAACTCTTCAATGAGGATTGGCATCCGTCAACATTAGTATCTAAAGGTTACTTTACTGTTTATGAGTTCTAATTAAGCACATCTGCAGGATATGGTTCATCAAAACGAGAGGCTAAAACCAATGCAGCTGCTAAGCTTTTCAGTGAGTTGTGTGGGGTGAAAAAGCCTCTTTCATCTAGTTACACACTACATGAAACTGGTGGTCAAGATGTAGCAGAGTGTAAGAAAAACCCAATCAGTATCATACACGAGTACACTCAGAGGAATTCTTTGGAGCTCACATTTTCAGATGGAATTGAGCAAGGCATGTTTAGTTGTAAAGTTAAAGTTGGTGCTATGGAAATGACTGGACTAGGTGGGCTTATATTTGTTAATATATCAGTTATAAGTTGCTCTGCTAATTCAATTATTATATATGAATCAAAGGTAACTGTTAAAAAACAGGTCATTAGGTATTTGGAATTATGATATTGATATTTGGTCAAACAGCTGTATCTTTACAGGGATGAACAAGCGTGCTGCAAAGAGTTCTGCTGCAGTCAAAATGATGGAAGTTTTACAAAAATTGAAGGAAGGAGAACAGGGGACCATGGTATACATTTCTGATGCAAAAACATCAAATCTATGAAATGAAATTACTACACTATTATATCGAAATTAAGATACAATGAATATACTCCAAAAGAATGGGTCTTTGTCAACATACTGACTGTTGACTAATGACTACCTACTCGATTTTCTTGTTTTTTATTAGTTATCACTTATCATGATAATGATCAATGATTCTATTTCTTGACCGATTATTATACTTTTCAGAAACCATTAAATATCAATGAGCCACCATCAACCAAGACCAGAAACAACCGAAAGAAGAAAAGTGGCCCTAAGACAACTAAAGATAACCAAACTACAAATGAAAACGAGGAGGAGAAAGAAAAGTTTGTTCTTCCTACAATTGAGGTGTCTTCAGGGAAACACCCCATATCCTTGCTTCAGGTACTTGTGTGCTTCTTAAGGGGGCATACACCAAAACAGTGGTTAGTGCCGTCCAACCCAAATGACCTCACAGGCAGTTCAGTGACCATCTAGCGCACCGTTTCTACATTTAAAAAAATTATTTTGAGAATACCTATTTTTGTAATCGAGCATTTCCTGGTTAGAGTGGAATTTTCGGGAAAACACAATTTGTTTCATGGAGAGGCTATAAGTTAATCATTTCTTGCGGTATCGGGTTGAAATTTTGCTCGCCGTTTATTCACATATATTTCAAGGTGTGTGTAAATTCTTGATATCGTATCTAAAAAGGCTGTTTTTAAATGTAGAAACGGTGCGCTAGATGGTCACTGAACTGCCTATGAGGTCATGTATTGGGTTGGACAGGTTTGGTGTATGCCCCCTTAAGGCCATACCCGGCTATTAAATCGCTGAATCGAGAACTTAATTTTGGTGTTTTGTACGAATTGATGTCAGTTGAAACTTATCAATGTATTATGCTAGGAGTTTTGTCAGAAGGTTGGCCTCGAAGTACCAGTCTATGCGAGAAAGGGGATATTCCACACTAAGTTATCACGAAATAGGATCCAGAATTTTGACATGTTTGTGACAATAAAAGTTGGAGGAAAAGAACACTTTGCCTCAGGTCGGTTGACAACATTTTTGCCCCACGATGTTATTATATTATACTATTGTAACCTGGCCTCCGGCCGGGATTTCACTGCCGCAGTTAAAAAGGGTAGGAGTAATTACCCGCTGAGTCAAAACCCGCATTAGGTGAGCAATTCTATTCAGAGTTCCCTCACGTATCCAATAGTATCTGTACCACGACTATTACACCTCATCACTCCCGTCTTAAACCGCTTTAAATCGTTTTAGAAATTAACCCTTATTAACTCCACACCCGCCTTATATTTGAAAACATGCATTACATTGTCGTATGAAATTAAACAAACAGACCGCAATGAATTTGTTATAACTATTGACGGTGGCTTGTGTAAGATGTGTAATGTGATACGTGCGCATGATACAATATAGTGTGTTATATATATTGTATAGTGCTGTATTCTGTGTAAAATTATCTTTATCCCGGTTACTGCGACAAGTAAAAATGCTCTTATTAGGGAAAGGAGTTTACTCGACGTTTCAATGTAACTACATCGTATTCATGATCTCAAATTATTTGTTATATTATACTATTATAGTATAGTAGTGTTGATAGTAGTGTTGAAAGTATTAAAAAAATTTTTTAGTACTTTCAACACTACTATAAAACAAATAATTTGAGATCATGAATACGATGTGACTCATAAACAATACTCCAATCCGGATTTTACATATATATAGTGCGCCACTGTTATTTGTTTTGAAACTTCCCGCCAGCCAGTCTGAGGTGACTTGCAATCTGTGCTCATAATACCTTCGGTTCCTTGCGGGAAAAATCTGCAAATTATCAGCTCTCAGTGTCGACGAGTTTTAATGCATATAATTCCTGGAAATAGTTATAATATGTAAAATTGTTATCGTTTTCCGTTAACAGTAAATTGAATTAATAGATTTGTTTATTTACATGCGAAGTCAGAGATGATCTGGGAACGTTCAGCTAGATGATGCAACTCATTTTTATGATCGTTGAACAGTGGTATAATATTAAGTCATAAATTAACTTCGTTGAAACATTTAATAAAACTTGTGAGAAATGGATATATTATATTATTTCTGGATCGATTTAATAACATGAGTTATGTTGCAGATAAAATTAGACAATTCCGAATAGGCATTAAATTCCATATTTTGTCCTCACTGTTGTTCCCGGTCTGATTTACCTATACTTCCTTCGACCAGATTTCAGCGCTATTTATCTGGGTCGAATCCGGTCATGTATGCAACAACTTGTTACTTTACATTTTCGCAGTATGTTGGGTTTTACCGTTCTGTTCATTTTGTTGTCCCTAGTAAATTCTTGTCAGGAGATCAATGTAAAAGCTAAAGACGGAGGAGTGATTGTGGGACGTAGTTTCGAATTTCATGTTCCTCTGAATTCCTTCTTGATAACCGAGCCTGCTGGTACTAAACATGTAGCCCCCGCCCTGGCCAACTGTCCTGGAGACCCCTTCACTTTCAGCAATCGTTACAAACAGATCACGTTTACAGGAATCTTCCGTGGTAAATGGATTAACACAGCTGATGGTATTAATGCAGCAGGGTTGTCTGCAAGTGTTCTCTACTTCAAAGACAATGCCGAGTATATCGACCCTGCAGAGATCACAGGTGTGGCATGTAATAACGCTATTCCACAGACCATGGTTGCTGCTTACATCCTGGCTATGTACGAAGCAGTTGAACAAGTTAAGAATGACTTGGAGAGTGGCAAATTTCCAGCTGTTTGGGCGGGAAATGACCTGGGGATCGTGCTGCCAATCCACTACAACGTCATCGACAAGACCGGGGCAGGATTAGTACTAGAGTATGTTAAAGGGGAGGGAGTGAAGTGGTATGACAATACAGTCGGGGTACTGACAAACTCTCCACCTTACTCCTGGCACATGACCAATCTCAGGAACCATCCCCACTTTCAGAGGAATGACAGAGGAAGAGAAGGGTTCAAATACTCTTCCCAGGGAGAGGACTACTCGTATGGCCCACAATGGACCGGATCTGGGATGTTGGGATTACCTGGGGATTACACGTCACCTTCCCGCTTTGTTAAGGCTGCTACTCTTCTCGCCCTAGCTCCAAAACCTGCCACTACTAACGAGGCTATAGTCCAGATTTTCCACCACATGAGTGCAGCTGATATCCCCTACGGAGTAATGATGACAGCACCACTGGACCTGATTGCATTTAACTGGTGGACCTTGGTCAAGAATCTGGGTAGAGGGTGTGTGTACTACAGGGCTTACACTGACTTGTCAGTGAAGAAACTGTGTCTACTTGACATTCCTGATGTGAAGTCTGCTATGAGGATGGAAGGGAGGTTTGAAGATGGGTTCAGGAATATTGCAGGAGAGTTGAAAGATTTTAACAGTATTGTACCTGATACACAAAATGAACTATTATAGACAATCGTTGAAAATTTTCAGGACAGTTAGGAGTTACTCCTTGTTAAAAGAGGTTGATTATTATCTTTAAAATACTTTTTTATATTGTAAACAGTCGAATAAATTGAATTTCATTATGATTGGTTGTATGCTTTTACTATTGATACTAAAAATGTCTTTTATCTTTATCCTTGATAGAACTTTTCTATATTCTCATTGTTGATCGAAAATAACGAGGTCTGATCGTCATCATCTTACAGCGTTCGATGTCTGTGAAGGTAAAATGGTGACATCCTCTGGATCAGGCAGAAGTCGAGTGTTATCGGGATTGCTTCTGTAGTAGTTGTACAGCAATACTTAGGCAATGGGAGTACTGCGGACCCTCTACCGGCCAAACCTTGTTAAAAAAGCCGCAGTCAAGGTTCGGTGAACGGTAGTTAAAAGCGCTTAAGCATAAGGGACATAAGTCAAAGTGGTAGAGCAACATCATGTAATGGACATCTTGAGAAATGAGTAGTAGGTAGAATGAAGGTTGCTCCTGCATAAATCGTCTTTTTCTCCGATAATAAATAGACATCAAGTCTTGAAAATTATTCGAGAAGAATCTCGAATAATTTAGTTGCAGCGTGCCACATGGCTATCTAAACTGCAAACCCTACCCATTACGGCATTGCTGAGCAAGGCCTGATCGAAAATATCTAAAATCATAAAGATAGAAATGGATATCAACTTAATAACACCAGAATGTGTGTGTGTGTGTGTGTGTGTCTGTCTGTCTGTCTGTCTGTCTGTCTGTGTGTAATTTCCGAACAGTTATACAAAAAAAAACGGTAAGAGTTACGGGACTGGTTTTTTCGGTAAAGTGCCGACAAAACTCTGATGAAGCCCATAGGAAATTTGTTTTTAAATCGGCCGGTGGTAAGTGGTTTTATTGATGATTTTGTACCAGAAATGTTACATAATTAAGTTGCTTGAGCAGAACGGCAAGAGTTACGGGGCCTGCTCTCTCTCTCACTCTCGCTCTCTCTCATTACTGTGTAATATGTTATCTGCTGCATTTAAGTAGCGTCATAATTGGATTAGCCCGGAAGATTTGCTGTAATGTTATACCTTAAACTTATTAGGGGAGGGAGGACTGTTAGTGTTTGGGGTCTGTTTGGACTGCAGAGAGAGAGAGAGAGAGAGAGTTCATACGACAATGTTATGCGTGTTTTCAAATATAATATGCGGGTGTGGTGCGGAGTTAACAAGGGTTAATTTCTATAACGATTTAAATAAAAATAGAAAGCGGTTCAGGACGGGAGTGATGAGGTGTAATACTCGGTGTTCAGACCTTATGATCATGGAATGTGGTGCCTCATTGCTAATAATGATTTAATTATCCACAAGAAATAACTGATTATGAGATTATTGTTTAAGAAACTATTGGGTCACCTAATGCGGGTTTTGACTCAGCGGGTAATTACTCCTACCCTTTTTAACTGCGGCAGTGAAATCCCGGCCGTAGGCCGGGTTACACTAGTTATTATATAATATTATTTAATTTAATAACATAAGTTATGTTGCAGATAAAATTAGACAATTCCGAATAGGCATCAAATTTCATATTTTGTCCTCACTGTTGGTTCAGAGCCGATGAACCTACTTCCTTCGACCAGATTTCATTACTATTTATGTGGGTAGAATCCGGTTATGTATGCTGCAACTTGTCACTTAGCATTTTCGCAGTATGTTGGGTTTTACTGTTCTGTTCACTTTGTTGACCCTGGTAAAGTCTTGTCAGGAGATCAATGTAAAAGCTAAAGACGGAGGAGTGATTGTGGGGCGTAGTTTAGAATTTGGTATTCCTCTGGATTTCTTCTTGATAACCGAGCCTGCTGACACTAAACATGTGGCCCCCGCCCTACCCAACTGTCCTGGAGACCCTTTCACTTTCAGCAACCGTTACAAACAGATCACGTTTAAAGGAATCTTTCGTGGTGAATGGATTAACACAGCTGATGGTATTAATGCAGCAGGGTTGTCTGCAAGTGTTCTCTACTTCAAAGACAATGCCGAGTACATCGACCCTGCAGAGATCACAGGTGTGGCATGTGATAACGCTATTCCACAGACCATGGTTGCTGCTTACATCCTGGCTATGTACGAAACAGTTGAACAAGTTAAGAATGACTTGGAGAGTGGCAAATTTCCAGCTGTTTGGGCGGGATATGACCTGGGGATCATGGTGCCAGTCCACTACAACGTCATCGATAAGACCGGGGCAGGATTAGTGCTGGAACATGTTAAAGAAGAGGGAGTGAAGTGGTATGACAATACAGTTGGGGTACTGACAAACTCTCCACCTTACTCCTGGCACATGACCAATCTCAGGAACCATCCCCACTTTCAGAGGAATGACAAAGGAAGAGAAGGGTTCAAATACTCTTCCCAGGGAGAGGACTACTCGTATGGCCCACAATGGACCGGATCTGGGATGTTGGGACTACCTGGGGATTACACTTCACCTTCCCGCTTTGTTAAGGCTGCTACTCTTCTCGCCCTGGCTCCAAAACCTGCCACTACTAACGAGGCTATAGTCCAGATTTTCCACCACATGAGTGCAGCTGATATCCCCTACGGAGTAATGATGACAGCACCACTGGACCTGATTGCATTTAACTGGTGGACCTTGGTCAAGGATCTGGGTAGAGGGTGTGTGTACTACAGGGCTTACACTGACTTGTCAGTGAAGAAACTGTGTCTACTTGACATTCCTGATGTTCAGTCTGCTGTGAGGATGGAAGGGAGGTTTGAAGATGGGTTTAGGAATGTTGCAGGAGAGTTGAAGGATTTCAACAGTATTGTACCTGATACAAAAACTGAACTATAGACAATAGTTGAACATTTTCAGGACAGTTAGGAGGACAGTTATTGATTGACAGTTATTGATTGAAGAGGTTGATTATTATTATATCTTTAAAATATTATATCTTTAAAATACTTTTTATAATATTGTTAACAGTCGAATGAATTAAATTTGATTATGATTAGATGATTGCTTTTACTATTGATATTCAAAATGTCTTTTAAAATCTTTATCCTTGATAGAAATTTTCAATATTCTCATTGTTGATCGAAAATAACGAGGTCTGATCGTCATCTTCTTACAGCGTTCGATGTCTGTGAAGGTAAAATGGTGACATCCTCTTGATCAGGCAGAGGTCGAGTGTTATCGGGATTACTTCTGTAGTAGTTGTACAGCAATACTAAAGTAATGGGACTACAGCGGACCTTCTACCGGCCAAACCTTGTTAACAAAGCTGCAGTCAAGGTTCGGTGAACGGTAGTTAAAAGCGGACATAAGTCAAAGTGGTAGAGCAACATCATGTAGTGGACATCTTGAGAAATGAGTAGTAGGTAGAATGAAGGTTGCTCCTGCATAAATCGTCTTTTTCTCCGATAATAAAATGACATCAAGTCTTGAAATTATTCGAGAAGAATTTCAAATAATTTAGTTGCAGCGTGCCACATGGTTATCTAAACTGCAAACCCTACCCATTGCTGAGCAAGGCCTGATCGAAAATATCTAAAATCATAAAGATAGAAATTGATGTATATTATTTAATTTAATAATATAAGTTATGTTGCAGATAAAATTAGACAATTCCGAATAGGCATAAAATTTCATATTTTGTTCTCACTGTTGGTTCCGAGCCGATGAACCTACTTCCTTCGACCAGATTTCATTACTATTTATCCGGGTCGAATCCGGTCAGGTATATGGTACAACTTATTACTTTGCATTTTCGCAGTATGTTGGGTTTTACTGTTCTGTTCATTTTGTTGTCCTGGTAAAGTCTTGTCAGGAGATCAATGTAAAAGCTAAAGACGGAGGAGTGATTGTGGGGCGTAGCTTCGAATTTGGTGCTCCTCTGGATTACTTCTTGATAACCGAGCCTGTTGGCACTAAACATCTTGCCCCCGCACTGCCCAAATGTCCTGGAGACCCCTTCACTTTTAGTAACCGTTACAAACAAATCGCGTATAAAGGAATCTTTCGGGGGAAATGGACCAACACAGGTGATGGTATTAATGCAGCAGGGTTGTCTGCAAGTGTACTCTACTTCAAAGACAATGCCGAGTATATCGACCCTGCAGAGATCACAGGTGTGGCATGTGATAACGCTATTCCACAGACCATGGTTGCTGCTTACATCCTGGCTATGTACAAAACAGTTCAACAAGTTAAGAATTTCTGGTTGTTGCGGCGGGATATGAACTGGGGTTCGTGATGCCAATCCACTTCAACATCATCGACAAGACCGGGGCAGGATTAGTGCTGGAACATGTCAAAGGAGAGGGAGTGAAGTGGTATGACAATACATTCGGGCTACTGACAAACTCTTCGCCATACTCCTGGCACATGACCAATCTCAGGAACTATCCCCACTTTCAGAGGAATGACAGAGGAAGAGAAGGGTTCAAATACTCTTCCCAGGGAGAGGACTACTCGTATGGCCCACAATGGACCGGATCTGGGATGTTGGGACTAACTGAGGACTACACTTCACCTTCCCGCTTTGTTAAGGCTGCTACTCTTCTCGCCCTGGCTCCAAAACCTGTCACTACTAACGAGGCTATAGTCCGGTCCAGGTTTTCAATTATATGGCCGCGGCTGATATCCCTTACGGAGTTGTGGAGACTGGCCCACTGTACCAAACATCCTTCACTCGGTGGACTCTGGTAAAAGATTTTTAGAGATGTTTCTACTACAGGGCTTACGCGTATTTTTCAGTGAAGAAATTGTGTCTATATGACATTCCTGATGTGCAATCTGCTGTGAAGATCGAGGGGAGGTTCGAAGATGGGTTTAGGGATGTTGCGGGAAAGTTGAAGGATTTTAACAGTATTGTACAATGTACCTGATATATAAAGCTTGAACTATAGACATTTTTCGACAACTTTCGGGACAGTTTTGAGTTTTCGCTGATGCTTGTTCGAAGAGGGTGATTATTCTCTTCAAAGAGTGCTTAAAAATAAAATGTAAACAGTCAATCAAAATTATGGTTTAGTAATTGCTCTTTGTCCAATATTCGAAAGTATTTAATTTGTATCCTTGATGGAAATTTTCAATTATATCCTTTAATTCATTTTGTTGATCCATAAAGATCTAAAATATTATCAGTCTATAGAAGAAATTGAAAGTTACACTGAAAACAAGGGTCATTCATATTTCATAAGTGCAAATTACCAGGTGCAAAATATTCATAAATTTTAAGCCCTTTAAGCTAGAAGTTGTTGTTGCTGCCTCAAATGGCCCCATCAACATGAAAATCCCGAATGTTTTTATATCTCAATCTGGCTCAGAGGAACCTTAACCTGAGTCATAAAGGCATTCTGTCGAAATAGCGAGTTCCGTACCCAGCAACGCATCAGATACCTCGCACCTCTAGTTGACCCCACCCAGCCCACACAATACACATCGTGGACGTCCGGAGAGGGTTTTCGCTGGCACTAGATAAAGTTAATAAGATTGTCGATGCAAACAGTGCTTAATAAATTAAAATTATATCCATGTACGTTAATAATAACTCACCTGTTTAAGAAAAGTTATGGCATGAGCGATTAATTGACAATATAACTTTATGAGTATTGCTGAAAGCACAGTGTAAGGCCTACACGGACCGCCTCTAACTAGCCAATCCCTGTTTACATGCCGTGTAGCAGGGGACTAGAAAGAGCTAAACTAGTTATGTTATTTGCTTAAACTGTTTAGGATGCAACCTAATGTCATGATCTTTTTGAACTTATTAGCAATTAGACTGTTAGCTCGCTTCATAAGCATGTCATCTTCGTTCCAAAACTTTTTATGTCCTATGCATACACTCCTTGATAGTTATCTTGATCTAGTATCTTTGTTTCACACAATAGAGTGTAAGTTTTGTGGTTTATCCACTGGGCTTAGAGTTTGTGTTTAAGCTACCAAATTTTATTATTATTATTATAATACATCTAGGACCTAGGTAACTCTCTAGCATTCTTCTATTGCCATGTCTCCACAGTGATCACTTATGCGATTTGTTATTTATTTTAAATGCTGACTTTCTTAACTTAACTGGGAAAAAATCTGTGCTGTTTAGTGTTCCCACAGCTTCTTATTCTATCGCCGATTAATAAGGGGCACTGCAGTAAAATAAATATACTTGATCACTATTCAGGTTGCGGAACTACCATCAAAGCTGCAAAAGCCCTAGCTGCCAACAACATGATAAAGCAAATAGAGAACATACGTGATGAGATTCAAGCGACAATAAAAGACATGAAACCTGTTAAAGCCGCGACCACACCCAGCCCAACTTTAAATTCAGAGCCCAAAACAGAAAAGAATAAGATTCACGAGATAGATCCTCAGAGTCAGATGAATCCTCTAGCTCTGGTCAACCAGCTGTTTTCTCCTGAGATCACAGTTGAAGAAGTAGGTTACGCAATTATAGAAGGTATATTTTCACATCACTTTGCTTTATCCTTATACATTGGACTAACAACAGCATATATCATATCTTCAAGAAGGATACCAATCTAACGTTTTTGAAATTATAAACTTTTCCACCAGACGCCAGACAAACCCGATCACAGAAAGGAGTTTGTAGTGACTCTGAAAATAAACGAGGAGACGTACAAAGGAACGGGAAACAGCAAGAAGAAAGCGAAAGTGATCGCTGCTGCTGCATGTTTGGAAGAGAAAGTTGGACATTGCCAATACAACACGGTCGCAATGGTAGGTCACGTTTTTCAAATATTATGGAGAGCTGCCTTATTTTAACGAATAGTGTTTTTAGATCTCGGGGTCGTAACTTAACTAGAATTTTCTGTATTTGTTACAATTACAAATTAGAGTTATATTGCAGGCCCAGTCCTGGAATGCAGACGACTTCACCCCCTCCGAGCTGGGTTTCGCTAAAACAGTAGCTAATCTTGTGCAGCAGAAGTATGATCTGGTCAGTAAAGATGTTCAGGATCATGAGCAGAAGAGGAAAGTTCTCTCTGGCATCCTCATCAGATCCTGTGATAAGGTTATTATCTTTATTATCGTAGTTTGATAAGGTAACTATCATGATCTCATGATCTGCAGCTCTGCACCTATTTAATTATCACCTTACGTATATTGGGCTTCTACAGTATATTCTAGGGTTAGCATGCCATTTACTAGATTCTTTGCATTCCTTTCCCGGTACGCACCTCTTATCCCGAGTGTTCTCCTCTAGCAACATGGAAAACATCATCAGTGAAAATGATGTCAAAGATTTTATTTAAATCTCACCACCCTCACTTCTTTCCCAGACTGATGTAAGCGGTATAGACGACCTACAAGTACTAGTAGTAGCAACAGGTACCAAATGTGTGGACGGTTCCAAGCTCTCTTCTAACGGACAGGCCCTGAATGACAGTCACGCTGAAGTACTGGCTAGGAGAGCCTTTAAGAGGTTCCTGTTGGAGCAGGTCAAGAGGTTCCATAATCAGGAGAGCAGTATTCTGATCAAGAGTGAAACTCCTCCTTTCTTACTCAAAATCAAACCAGGTTAGTTGTGATAGAGTGAGAAGTCAAAAGCAACTGATGCTGTATTTCAGTCTTATTAATCACCTTCATTTCTATTAGCTCAGATAAGTTTTAAAATTTCATATTTTAATGATAAAATTTAAGTAAAACACAAATCTTATTCATGACCATAAACTGTCAGGTCTCTCATTCCATCTCTACATCTCCACCTCTCCCTGTGGTGATGCGCGCATCTACAACATGGCGAGCCCAGGAGAGAACGCTGCAACAGAGAACAAACAAGCACGTGGGGTACTGCGCAGTAAGATAGAGTGTGGGGAAGGTACAATACCTGTCAATAACATGAACTCAGTACAGACGTGGGATGGGGTGCTTGCCGGGGAGAGGCTGTGCACTATGTCTTGTTCTGATAAGGTTAGTTCTTTAATTATAATATGCATAATATGTAACTGTAAGTCAATTCGTACAATTGTGGAACGTTTAGACATTTTTTTTTGTAGTTTTTGAGAATATGGTTTGTTTTGTTATTCATTTTTCGTATAAATCTTAATTTCAGTTAGCTATGTGGAATATAGTTGGATTACAAGGAGCAGTGTTGACTCACTTTATGGAGCCAGTATATTTTGACACTGTGATTATTGGGGGCTGTTTCAGCTTGTACCACATTACTCGAGCACTTGTGAACAGGTACTTTTACTTTTTAAGTGTTTTATGGATCGTTTTTAATATATTTAATCGGTTATTAATTGTATATGACGTAATGAAATATGCTTTTAGTTTTGTGACAATGATGAAATCGACCAAAAATTCTTTTGTCGAAAGTTTATCAATCCTTGAGAATAGTTTGCCAATATTTTAATTGTATTTGTTATTCAACTTTCCAGAACTGCTTGACAACTCTACTACCTTGCTCCTTCATAATATGTAATATCTCCAATATTTAGAGTACAGAGTTGTGAAGGATTGCCGGACTCTTACGCCATGCACAAACCTCTCATTCTACCTGTATCTCAACAGGGTCAGAGGATTCCGTCTAAATCATCGGGTAAGTCTTATACTTTTATTTTATTTCAAAATTCAAATAAACTTTACATCAATGTATTACAGTTATATTCAATAAAAAGACCACAATATCTCCTGTGAAGCAAAAACATGGAAAAAGAGAGCTAGAAAAATATTCATGATACTCAACACTACCAGACTCAGCTGGAGTGAGAAACAAATTGTAAAAACATCAAGGTAAAATTTATTTCGGCTGAACCAAAACACGGTGGTAAGACCATAATAACATTGGTGCCGACCCTACATAAAATCATTAATAAATAATCAAGAGAACAAATTTAAATGTATACGATACCTTCTTGCTACTACTCCACAAACTTACACGACATAACAACAAAATAACATAATTAAATAATATTATAATAAAACAATCTACAATCTAGCCACTCACGTACTGCGTGACGCGCTTGTTTCGGGTTGTTTCATAAAAGAAAAAACGGCGCGTTCTACTGCAGGTGCGAGGGGCAAATTATAGAGAGTATGACATTCATGAAGTAAAATATATATATAATAATATTCCATGATGGGCCATCTAATCAGGCCAGCATACGTCAGAAGACCAGAGAAATTCAGTTAGCTTTGTTTTGAAAATAGAAATTTTCTCAGTCTGTCTAACATAGGCTGGCAGTGCATTCCACAGAAGCATTGTTCTATAAAAGAAGCTGTTTCTGAAACTATCGCAGTTTGGTACAATAGAGCAGGTATATGTGCTGGTGTCAAGTCCTTCAATGACTGATGCCGTGCTCCTTGTGTACCTCATTGTTCCAGCTTCAACAACAGTAATATATTCAGGTAGAGATATACTTACCAAATCATTTACTATTTTATAGAAGAGCGTAATTGAATTATGGATGAACTTAGATCTAATGGGTAGAATTTTAAGCTCCTTCTGCTTCTCATAGAATTCAATATCACTATAATGATCAAACTGTTGTCCATTGATCCATTTGATCGCTCTTTTCTGGATTGCCTCAAACTTCGACATGTGTGTCGATCGCTGAGGACACCATATAACTGAGCAATGTTCAAAGATTGATCTTACAATGGTAAGGTAGAAAGCCCTCTTTTGGCGTTTATCCATGGTAAAATGACAGGTTCTCTTTAAGAGCCCAAGCTTTGAGCTTGCTTTAGATATCAATTGATCACAATGTGCACCCCACAGAAAATACTAACAAGAATTGCGCCCGTTGTTTCGTTTTGGCGGACGCTAGATTTCCATTTCACATTTACTATAAATTTAAGTATAACTATAAGCTCCAATCAGCTCACTTCAATCTTCATGATAATAATATTGATCAATTATGCATCAAATACGGGAAACACTTGAAATTCAGTTCAATTGCCGTAGAACTTAACTTGTATCTGTAATTCAAGAAATTATCAGCAAAGGTAAACTATACTCGTGTACACATCAATACACTACGCGTGCCACGTACAAATTGGGTGTATTACCTAATAGTAATATTATACATTACATGCATCATATACACAGTCGCGCCGCGCATTCATAGATCACAGGCTATCTATACATCACATCTCCGCAAGCAATCCTCGCGCGCGCCCAACTTTTTCGTTGCATGGTAACGAACGAACACACGACATATTTAAACCCACCTATCTCGTTCTCCAAAATCCACGTTTTTCTGCAAAAACCTCCATTCGTAACCTTTCACTATTGCCTTTTTTCAAAAGGGTGAAAAGGAAAAAATTTAATTACAGTTGTCAGTTCTTGTTTGATGATTAGGTAAAGGAATACTATAATTAACAGCAAACAAAAATTACGACTCGGATGTTTTTGTTGTAAATTTTTATTTATCTTAAGTTTTGTGATCAGATTTACAAATTTCTGATGTTTTACTTAATCTCATTTTGTTAATCCAGGTTACTCCATGAACTGGATCTTAGGAGAGGGCTCTGTTGAAGTGACCAAGACAAACTCTGGAAAATGTGTAGATGACAGTGTCAGCCGGCTCTGCAAGAGTTCACTTTTCACGTCAGTTTACTGAATCAGTTGGGGAATTTTCTGCTTATAGCGATTGTCGTCCTAATTTATCCCAACTTGAATGTAATGTTTAGAAATCCCCTGTTGGGCTGTTTCTTTAAAGAATATTTAGGCTGATAAACTAATCATCCTCTACTTACATTCATCAGAATGTCTGAGTTAAAACTTAACTTTAACAAAAACCTCTTTGCAGAAAGTTCCATGAAGTTTGTGAGATAGTTGCTTCCAACAAACCCTACGCCGGAAGAATGTACCTAGAGATAAAGAAGGATGCCAGTAACTACCAGCAAGCTAAGAAAAGCGTTGTTGACAACTTCAAGAAGAGTGGACACGGCAACTGGATCGGGAAACCGATTGAGCAGGATATGTTCGGTGTTTAAACGCTTATCAGTGTTATCTCGACTAGACAAGATCTCCTACTTTAAATCTTATCTCACATATATTATCTTATCTTGCAAACTTTTAAATGAAATAAACTATGCCGTTCACGGTTCATATCTTGGGTCTTACGGGTATATGGCCCCCAGAATATAGGTGGCCCCCAAAATATAGGTCATGTTAGTGGATACAGTTCTAACCAAGATAAGCGATACTAATGGGATCTGTTACTGCTAGGTTGGAGTAAAACATGTAACTAATGTTTCTGGATAAAAATTTTGGACCTACATGAGGTATTTTGGTATATATTTGGTCATGACAGCGAAAAATTTAAACGATGTTGTCATTTTCTAGAGGGGTAAATATGGCGAAAAATTGTCATCACAAAAATCTGTCCAACACATGCCATTAAGACTACTGGTATGAGTATAAGTATTATTTTAAGCTATCTTTTCATCGAGACATCTGCAAACTGACAATTTGGAAAAAAGTTATGGCCATCACAATTTTACGGGCCCCCAGAATATAGGTCCATACGACCCCCAGAATATAGGTTGGTCAAAAACCCTGAACATGCCCAAAACCATGCTGTGGGATGCTCTACTTGTAGCTACTAGTCTCCTGAACCCACATATCAAGTTTTATCAAAATAGGATAAAAATTGGCCGAGTTATGGGATAAAAACAAAAACCATATGCCCATATTTGGGCATACGCACCTAATTTGATCGATTTTGGTCCATAAATTGGTCAAATATCAATATTTTTGAATGAAACCAACTTTATATGGAAGGTAAGCATATATTACACATTCTCTATGATTATCAGCTCAATATCTACCTAACTGTGGATTCTGTGTTCAAATAATCGCAAAAAATGAACAAAATCGCCCATATCTCAAACTGACTTAGCTCAAAACAATAGAACTCAATAGGTTTTCAATATTTTCACATGAAATTTTCAGAATCAACGTAGAATTGTCTCATGACCCTAAGTTTTGGGACAGAATTTTGAAATAGGCCTTTAAAAAAATTTGGCGGCCAAAAATGTCTGATTTACAGTCATTGAGGTGCACATTGTATTGATACAGATAAAAACAGCCCCCTCAATCATATCTAGGGACACTCCTTCAATCTTATTTAAGTATTTAGTTAAGATCCCTACTAAATGAGTGCATGAATGCTTTTTAACTAGTAAAATTAAAGATTTTACTCATTACGGGTATATGGCCCCCAGAATATAGGTTTTAAAAAAAAATAGCGACCAAGATTCTGCATTTTCTCTGTCACCCTGAGCATTAAGGAATGTGGGGTAGTGATGAGAAACAGTTAAAGAACATATGCTGAAGAGATGGCATCATCAAAATGTATGAAGGTGGAGTATTTGAGGACGATTTTTGCATACCTATATTCTGGGGGCCGTAGTTTTTGATTTTTTGCTATTAAGTATACTCTAAACCATTTCAATTTAGTATCTGGAGCCATTGGCATCATCAATACAGTCTCAGCAACATATTCTGACTGCATATAACTGTCTGTGACAATTTTAGAACAACTTAGGAACAGATGTTTGGACCTATATTCTGGGGGCCCTGTTAAAAAATGGTATTTTTACAGGTGAAAAAAAAGTACACTTAAAAACCTAATAATTATTTTCAACTACCCAAGAAACATTTAAAGGGTTATTATGTACATATTTACAGCCCTAAACATGCTTAGAAGTAGTTTTAACACCTGTTTCTAAGTGCTCAAAAAACGACCTATATTCTGGGGGCCATATACCCGTATCTGATATAGGCATTTTAAACTTTTAAACAGATACCTAATTTTATTTCACGAATATCTTAACTTAACCCGTTTTAGCCCCAATTTATTATTGTATTATGTACATTATACAGTGGAACCACTATATACCGGTCCTCTCGGAGGAAACGAAAAATGCACGGTATAAAAACTGGTATGAAGAGGTTCACATGATAGCAATCCCCACTATGGCAGTATCTTTCAAATAACCTGTCGTGTTATATACACCATTAGAGGCTTATATTCACGTATTGTTGTGGAATACAGCTGACAGCTCTATAACCACCAAATGCACTATAATAAATATAACTTTAGGGGAAGAAGAGGCACGGTATATCGAGGTACCAGGTATATCGAGGTACCACTGTAGAGTGTAGTACTGACCGTTTGATCATGTATACTAAGCGAGGATACCAGACAGGTTTGACGAGGGTTAATATCTAAAGATCACATTATGAACTGTGGATCACGGGGTTTCACATGATCCTTTTATTCCACTGTGATCATCTGGATTATGTTTTATTTATTTAACTCTCTCCTGGCTGCACTGATGATAGGACAGGAGGATATTGTGGTGAGATTAAGTTGATTCAGTACCTAGACACTTAAGATACGAATTCTAAGGAGGATTATCCACTTACACTTAACACAGTACACACGTAAACTAGCTGAACCACATTAATGAATAAAACATCTCAAGTCTCTGCTGAATCAACTATTTACCGTGATATCCCGCACTTGTTGCATTGCAGCCCTTGCGCATTGCAGCACTTGTCGCATTGCAGCCCGGGGGGCCGACAAAATTCAGACGAATCTCGGTGAGCCTGGCGGATCGTATGAAACCTTGTGACTCCACTTGATCTGTTAACTATTTGTTGGATCTATCTGATGTCTTTGTTTCATTTGTTATATCGTTATCTTACTGATTTAAGGACGTTTCACTCGTCTTTTGTTATTGATTCTAAATTGCGTGATACAACAAAATTTCGTGTATTTTACAAGTATCAAAACGTCCTTATGGATAAGAACCACTGATATCCAAACATCCAATTATGTATATTGTATATTATAGGGCATGCTCCGATCATACTATTTAAATTTAATCGATGAAAATTACGATCATAAAATTATTATCCTATCACTTCAACATATCTAGCAGAGGGATGTCAGAAACAAGAAAACATCCCAACATCCTGATAACAGGAACTCCTGGTACTGGAAAGACAAAGTTAGCTACCAGACTAGCCGAGCTGACAAGTAAGTTATAGGATTCCCAGAAAGATTACACTAAATTAGTGGAAACTTGCTCAATGCTCACCATCTTCTGAAATACAACTTCACGTTCTCCCAGCTAACTCACTCTTCTTAACTCAGACTTCCTTAATAAGTAATAACTCAACCGGATTTCTTGTATGATAAACAATTTCTTCGTAGATATGAAGCACATAAACATTGGGAAAGTGGCTGAAGAAAATGAATGTTATGACGGTTATGACGAGAATTTAGCCTGTAAAGTTCTAGATGAGGACAAGATCTTAAACTGCATTGAGTCTGACATGTCAAAAGGTGAGACCTTACCCAATTTATATAGAATTATCAAAAATTAAATAATTATTTGCATAATACGGGGATCATGTTTTGTTGTCCATTTTTGTCCAACTTTAACTGGTACCCATATTTTCTTCCAGGAAACAACATTGTGGATTATCATGGATCTGACTTCTTCGACGAGGACTGGTTTGACATAGTATTCGTTTTGCGTGCGGAGATTGAGGTTCTGAACAAAAGGCTGGAAGAACGGGGATACAATGAGGACAAGATCAAGAATAATCTCGAATCAGAAATATTTCAGGTTAGTTTAGTGTGTTATAAACGCTAAAATTTATTCATTTTTTATAATGTTTGAGATGATATCACTGACTGCCATGGTTTAATAATAAAAAAACCTCATAATTGAAGTGTTTCACATTTATAATTAATTTCACTGTTAAAAGGTTATTATTATTATATTAATATAAAAATAATTATATTAATATGAAATTAATCTACTTTTCAATTGCACTCTGAATTATTTTTCAATAGTTTAAATATGCAGACAGTTTTAATTCCTACACAGGTGCTGTTGGAGGAAGCCTGGGACAGCTATGACCCTGATATAGTACAACAACTTACCAGTAACAATCTAGCAGATGTAGATACTAATCTTCAAAGCGTCACATCGTGGATCAAGTCATGGCACACCGATAATGACACTGATGTTGATAGATAGAACTATTTGAGTCAGGGTTATTTTAGCTTTTATATTTTGCAACTGACGAGTTTTATTAGAAAAAGTTTTATTCTTTAAGCTTTTAAGTTATTTGTTTTATGAAATGATGTGAACTGCAATTTTAAGGATCTTTATCAACAGAATTCACATTTCCCACACTTGTTTGATACCTAGTATCTACATTCTACTGACATAGTGCCAGTACTATTAGTGGCATATGATATACGAGAAGCAAGAATAATCAGAACCTAATAATTTAGAATAAAAGATTAAATGTGATAATGAGAGCAATTATTCTTGTGATGAAATCATAATACCAATATATCTGTAAATATTTCACAAATAGTTGTAGTTTCTACGTTCCAAATGGTGGAACTATAATAACAACGCCAGGTCCAGAGAAAGTTTAAGTTACTACGTTGATTAAACGTGGGGAAGTGTTTAAGATATTGTGCACAACTTGCTAGAATGATCCGTTCTCTGAATCCGATCAGCTATCGTCCTCCATCTATCCTCCGCTTTTACCCCCTCTTTTCTTCCCCCATCCTCTTCTCTTCCTTGTGGAGAGGTCTCTGCAGCCAGCTCCAGTTTCTGAAATTAGTTAACCTCTGTAAGTTATTCTTCCAAAATAGCTCATTATCAAAAGTTCGTTTTTCATTCTCTACAGACTTAAAGACATCTAATTTGAATACGTACAATTATTAATGTCAGTATCATTTTTCTATATTTCCTAATTTTTACAGTTTTTCTTCATATAATTGATATTAAAATAGTGAATTTATTAGTGAATGATGAGCTGCATACGTTCTTTACCTTCTTGTCGGGGGTGTCCTCTTCTCCTTCCTCGCTCCCAAAGGGGGAGATGTAGACGTTTCCTTTTCCACACAACCAGTACGTTTGAGTTATCAGATTCTGAAATCGGTCCTTAAAGTCTTTAAATGAGCAAATTCATTGAGAAAATAGTCATCAGCAAAATTGCACTGATTTTGAAGAAAGGCTCTCTTGTAATCTTGTTGTTGAATTTTGTTGAAACAAAATATCTTACATGTTTCAACATTAAACTAACCAACGTCTTCGGATTAATATCCTTTCTATTGATCACACTGTTTCTTCTTCGTGGTTTTAGTTGGAACATTCCCGTGCCCTTCAACAAATTGTAAGTCGATTCACTTATGTGAATTCTATTGGGCTGAAATATAATATTATTTTAATGGTTATTCAGGTCAAAATCATGTCAAGAGCATAGTTGGATATTCAGGTTACTGCCACACACAATGTTATGGGTAATTAATGTCAATATTGAAATTAAAAGTAAGTTGTGCCAGAAAAGATAAGATAACTGCTGTTGTCCCCTACCTTGCTTGTTGATTCCAGCACATTCACGACATTAACAGTGTCCCCAAATACGCCATATCTTGGTACTTTCCACCCCATGACACCCGCCACTATTGGCCCGCTGTTGATACCTGCATTAGTGTCACAATTAGTCAGTTAAATTGTTATGATGTCTTATCCGTTATTATTCAATATGCTGGAAATGTCAATAAACTGTTGTTATTTTACATACATTAATAAAAATTATAGAGCTCATAAGTTTCTATTTTTCTAACCTATTTTCACAGTCATCTGATTCTCCAGGAAGGTAAGTTTAACATTCTTCAAGTTGACCAGCATATCTATAGCCATCTCAGCTGCATACTCTGCGTGCTTCTCTTGTCCGTTGGGAATACCCACCACCACCATGTACCCGTCACCTATTGTTTCCACCTGACATTACGGATGGGATATTACTGGTGGATTGCAGTGCTCGGTAATTAATATTATCATGTAATTATTCTCAGGTAATTATTCTCATGGCTTCATGTGATTATTCTCATGTGATTATTCTAACGCGACATTTTTATGGGCCACCTTGTATAATCAACTCAGGTCTAATTCAGAGCAAACTCACTTTGTACACAGATTTCCTATTAGAGATCAGACTGTCGAAGGTCATGTACATAGCATTGAGCATCCTAGCTACGTCCATGGGACTTATCTCCGCACAGATTGAAGTGAACCCCACCATGTCGCTCAGCAACACTGTTACGTTCTTATACAGCTGAAATAAAATAATATGTTCCTTTATGCTCCGTCTCGAATACTTATCACAAAGAAACAAGGTCTAATTGTAGTTTTAGTTCACCCAAATATGCAATAAAAGCACTCTAATACAGCAATTCTGAGAGATATTCCAGTTAGGTTATACCCTAACCACCCTGCTCACCACCCTAACCACCCTGCTCACCACTCTGCTCACCACCATGCTCACCTGCACACACAGGAACACAAACCACAAACCTCGCATGACTCCCCGTAAGGCCGGCCGACTCTCACTGCTTTGTGGATATGTGGAGGCATGAGCTGGTTGAGGAGGTTGTTGGACAGTTCCATCTCTCTGAAGGCTGTTTCTGCACACATCTCTCTGTACCTGGTATTTTCTCTCTCCTTGTTATAGTAGTAGGTTACTAGTAGATAATATAGTAGTAGGTTATCATAGTTATTATAGTTAACAGCATGAACTGTCACCTTTTTCTTTACCATGACTTGATCTTATTGAAAAGTCTGAAATTAATTTGACAGATCTATCTCACCACGTCTAGCGAGTGCTCAACGAGACTATTCTTAAGGCACATCAGTGCTATGAGGGTGTGTTTCAGGCAGCCAGCTGGTACATCTCCAACATAGAAAGTATTCCTCTGACTGAGGAAGCAGCCAACTGTAGGTGAACAGAGAAAGAGGATACTTTTGTCAACCATCCCCGACACCATCTGACCCTGGGTGGGGTAGAGGGTGTGAGGTTTTATCGATTTTTGGGATAGAACTTAGCGCTTGCCTTTTAAATTTGAGACCGGGAGGAAGTCTTGAAACCAATCTCTAGTGACTTCATCCTTGGTCGATTCTAAGAGATCCAGATTAGTATGATACATAATTAATAATTTTCTTGTTAATTTCAAGAGTAGGGTCTGCTATTTGCAATTTATTGTGCAAATATTTCTGAAAAATTTAGAGGAGGGAAGTTGATTTTCGTATCAATTTTCTTCGGAGACCAAATAAAACAAATCTCAAACACACTGTTATCCATCAAACGTTACAGAAAGGATTTGAAGGTTTTCAGCACATGTGTTCATGTCGGCACACTAGATCAGGACATCTAATGGTACCACTGGGGCAACACTTCTTACAAGTCTTATTACAGTACTTCACAGCTATGTTGTCGTGAGGACAATGGAATGCCTGGCAATTGTATACTGTATCTTTGCAGGAAGGGTTGGGATGTGGGTCGAAATTATCATCAGCTCTGTAACCGGTAGCAGCGTCAGAGGGAGTGGTGTCAGACTGCCCGGTTAATCTAAGGTTGGGGTAGCTGCTCCAACTTAGGAGACCACATTTTCCGTCGTAGCCTCGAGCGAACTTTACAAATCCACTTTCTCCCCAGCTGGATCCCCAAGAGTTCTTCACCAGCATGTATGTGGGTGTGTATCCTACAGCTGAGACGCCGTGGTTGGAGTTTCCTGTGCATGATCTGTCCTGGATGATGCCTCTAGTGTACTGTTGGAAGTATTCTGTTACTTGGAAAGTTAGGGACAAAGAGCCTGTTGTCAGGGCTGCGATGTGAGCGGCCCAATTTCGGCCAACTCTGGTGTAACCAGTGATTTTAGCAGCAATCAAAGCGTCAGGCTTTGAACTTCTCTTGCAGGAATTGTCGCTTGCATCGTATCCGTAGTGTGTAGTTGAGGACAACCTTCCGTACTTGGCTGAGTATCGGTAAGGGTCATCAGGCCATCCACCCGTGCAACCGTCCCTAGTTCCCTCGTACACACAGTCCAGGTATTCCTGCTCAGCGAAGTTCCTCAGGACACCAGTTTCTTTTCGGTACCTAGTTTCCAGACCACCAACAGCTGCTGTTACAACGGAAACAACAGTTTAGGAGAAGTGGTTTAAAATAAACTAACTTTTTCGACACAAAACATCTGTATTTATATTAGCTACCTTCTAGGTCATAATAACTATTTTAACGTCACACTAAAGTTAGTGCACCGTGAGCTGACCGGGGTTAAATGAGGCTTAGTCCACCTGCTATGGTCATGTGACCTAGGTCACATGACTTACAACCAATGGACGGCTGCCCCACCTATTGTTGGACCAATCGTAAAATTCGCGAATATTCTGCACCCATATTTTAGAACAGCAATGTTTACAGGTCACGATTGACCGGTCACAATTGATGAACCACCTGTTCCCATGTTACTATCATCTAATCCTATGACCTAACATACCTCCTTTTTTTAATAATAATTTTATTCTATTTAATACTTTTTTAGATGTTTTGTGTTTAGAGGAATAAAATTATTAACTGAATCTTTACAACATGTATTTTACAATGCAACAAAATTTTAGTCTTAATACAACATTTTTAATGAAAACATATCTCTAGAGCTTTTACTTAAAGATAATTTTTAAATTCAAATTTCTAGTAAACATAAATGATTGGCTGTACTTCCTTTTCGAACTTTTCTTTCTTTTATTATTGACAATCTGGAAATTGGTAAATGTGTACAGTCAACCATTTTAAAAATATATCAACTATTAATATATCAACAATAATAAAACTCATCTAAAATTCTACTCTCAGTCTCTTTATTGTTCATGAATTGTCCATCATTCTCCTCCCTCCTCAAAACATTAACAATAATTTAAATTAAATATCTATGCTTCTGAGAGCATGAGCAAGTTAATATATCTAGTCTAAAAAATTTTTTTATTATTTTTGTATATTTCCTTTTTTTATAATTTTCTTAATTTTGTTTTGATCATAACTGCATTCGCGATCAAAGCGATTTCGCGTTAAACGAAATTTGTACAATTAGTATTTCTCAAGAAAACAACAATTTCAAGAGAATTTCATATGCATGCTTATTATGCATATCATATATATTTTATAACCAGAGCATGATACTATCAGTACTTCTGGCCGTTAGTTTCCTATTGATGCCGGTGCATCGATAGAAATCTAACTCCAGGCCCAGGGACGGCCGGCACAAAGCTCGTGTGGTAATCACTTTGCGGTTTTACGGCTTTTGATTACCACAACTTGCCAACCCTAGAACCTGTACATTATTTCAATCCAAAATTAAACATAAATTTTCTCTAGGTACAGCTGCCACTAAACGGGCAGTCAGACCAATATTAAATCTACCAAAATTGTTTATTCGCTGTCTGAACTGGCAGATGTGTCTGCTATAGTTTTGTTAGGGTCTTCTAGTCTGCGGCCGTATCAAGTTATGTGCCGTTTCAATTGGA